CTTACACCGAGTTAACTCATGTAAGCTTACGAGTGTTTCTTCATAAATTATTTGACATTTTTGAAGGTTTGTAAAATTCAAGCTAAAGTGGAGAATTATTGAAATATGGATTGAATTTTATGAGCCAATAATATATTTAGCCCATTAAGTTTTTTTTTATATATATAGGTATAAAGTATTTAAACCTCCTTATAACTCGTTTAAGAAATAGAATAAAAGACATAGACTTTGTATTGAGCCTCCGAGTGTTCTTGTATTCTCCTGTTATTAAGCTAATTAAACTTCTATCTCACCCTTGGAGTAGACAATTTGTCAAACCACGTAAATTATGTGTGTTGATAATTTGTTTAGCATTATCTTTTGATTATTTTATGCCATTACTTGTCTTATTTTTGCTATTTTTCATAACAATAATATATATATAAAGCATGGTTGCCTTTAGCTTTTTTTTTTTTTTTTTTTTGAAATGGTGGTGGTTTTGGGTTATGAAGTTATGATAGTGGCATCAAGAGTGGTAGATTTAGTAATTAATGGAGATTCAGTAGGGGATTGATGAGAAAAAAATCCTTCAAATTCATCTTCATCCTAGTAATCAAAGTTGATTACCGAAGGTGAAAATGAGGGTTTAATGGGTTCCGATTTGTGTCTTTAAGATCAAGTGTTGAAGTTGAAATGAGGGTGACCCACACTAAGTTAAAGAAAGATCGTTGAGTTTGAAAGTGTTGGAATCTATAGTTTCTTCGATGATATTTTCATGTCCTTCAATTTTGAATCCTTCAAAGTGGGAATCGACGAGATCATGATAAGAGTGATAGAAGAGTAAAAGTAAGAGAAGAAGGAAGTAGAGAAGGAAAATGGGTCGGGTTATAGTGGTGGATAATCAAGGTTTTATTTTCAATTTTAGAGAGAAAAGAGAGCACAAGTGAACATTGGTGATGGGTGGAAGATAATTATAACTGGTAAGAAAATGGAAGGAAGGCATTTAAATTATTAAAGAGATCGAGTTATGAATAAGAGTTCATTTGAGGCATCATTAGAAATTCATAGTAAATTTTTGTAAAAGTCCCCCAACTATAGAGATAGTCTTGATTTAGTTCCGAAATAATTTTTATCTCAATTAATTCTCTTAGTCATTCAAAAATTCTCAATCAACTTTTAATTAAAACTAATTAAGGACGAGCTATGTTTTTTTTTTTTCATGTGTCAATCAAAACTGTCACATGACGAGATGTTTCTAAACAAGTCAATATTATTTAGTCTTAGGTGACTACATGCACCAAAATAGAGGAAAAAAAAAAACAAAGCTTAGGTTGTAAAATAGAAAGAAATTATTGTTTGGACATCAAAACAAGAAAAAAAAATAAAAAAATTAAGCACCAAAGCTGTAGTTTTTCACATGTCGATTAAAATTATCATGTGGCAATAAAAAAAAATGTCATGTGGAATATAAAAAAATTACTGGTTGGACTCAAGTGATCGTAGGTACAAAAAAAAAAAAAATCAAAACTTGGATAGTAAAATAAAAAAATTACCGCTAGGCACTAAAATAAATAAATAAAAATCAAAACTTGAGTACCAAAATACAATTTTCTCTTCCAAGTTTGACTTTAACCTTTTTAATAACTTTGTTTCTCTTTGGATGATGTGATTTGTTATTCTTTATTTTTTAAAAAAATATTGTTATGTCTCAATTGTCCGATTTTGGGTGCGGATTACTCGATATCTTTTTTTTTTCTTTGTGATGTCTTTATTTTTGTAATTTTTTTCTTGATTGGTTTGGAGAAAGTGTTTTTACATGGTTTTTGTTCGGTTTATGATGTGTTAAGGTTGCATCGAGTTTTTGCTAGGTAGTTTTTATTAACTATTGTTGAATCTCATATTGATTTTGTTTGGTTATTTCAACGAGTTAAGATGTTTTATTTATGTTGCTTTTTGTGCAAATAAAAGGAATCGGTGCTTGAATTTGGATGGAGGGCCTATAATGTGTTTCGATTTTTTGCCAAGATTTATTGATTTGATGTTCCAATTAGAATTATAGCTTTAAATTATTATTTTAATTATAATTTTGGCTCTATTATTATGCTTCTTTGACTTTTAATTGTTTGTATTTGTGCAACATATTTAGTTAGGGTTTGACTTATGCAACAAAAGTTATAATGCCTAACCTATTATCTTTGTTTTTGTTAGTATGTGGAAATAGCACATCATCTTTCTTATTTGTAGTTTATTGTTCTTGTATATGCTTTTCTTTTGAAATTGAATTCCATGCTTCTTCTTCGTTTTCGTCGGTATTGTAGATGCTCTTAGTTATATACTAGTGTTTAGTATACTAAACTATAACATTTAAATTTAATTTTACTTCTAACTCGGTTGATCTAACATAATTATTGTTTGAAACATTGGCGGATTCATAATACTCTTTATCATCAATATATTCTATAACAAAGTTTTTGGTTGATGTTACGGGAGCTTTTGCTGTTTTTTTTTTTTTTTTTCCCTTCTTTAGGTCTCCTAATGTTGCTTTTGAACACTTATAATGGAAGTTACAAGACTAATTATCAAATCTATAATTATATGATTTATGCTTTTATTCTATTTTGCTTTGAAATTTATTGGACATGCTAATAGTATTTTTAAATGTTGATGGTGGACAAGAAAAGACCACCAATAATTAAATGTATTTTCTCTAATGAAAACTGTTTTTGTTAGTGGTTTTAGACAAAGTTCCGTAACAAATATTCATTCGCTTTTTACTCTATTTTTTCTTCTTTTCCTTTTTCTTTTTTTTTTTGGGTGTTTCCTTTGTGCTTTTTTTTTTTTTTTCCTTGGAGAGCTATAACATAGCTGATTAGATGATTTATATATAAATATATATATGTTGTGATTTGCAATCAAAATTTTGTTAACCTTATCCTTTAATTTTTTTTAAAGCTTCTATAAAGTTGTATATTATTTGATTTACACAAGTCCTAAAGGTAAAAATGTGATCCCACGCTAATTTGTATATTGTTGATAACATTTATTCTATGCATCATTTATTCCTATGTACTCTCTCCAAGAATTTTATCAAATCTTCATGCAATTATTTTTGTTTGTAGGTTGTGTGTAACTATGTTGAAAACATTTTAAGAAAAGTTGAGAGAAGTTAGAACATTAATGTTAGTATTATTGTTAATATTAACAAAAAAATATAAAGTTATATCATGGACTTCAATGAAAATTAACTATGTAACAATCCTCAAAATATTATTCATTCATTATGCAATTTCAACAAAGCCCGAATGACACAGTTTTCCACCAACAAATTTAAGTGATTTTTTTAACTATATTCATTTTAGTTTTTTAGATTTAAATTTATGTGATTTGGTCTTCGTATAACAAATAAGGGAGTAATGTTTCCTTGTATTTGTTTTTGTTTCAATTCATTAACTTCAAATTTATTTAATATATTTCTTAAATATTAGATATCTTGTGATGCTTTTCATTTTAGGATACTAGCTTTGTGTATGAAAAAAAAAATTAATAAATCATGCTTTATTAGAAATTGACTATTCACCTGCACACTAAATATTATTTATTCATTATTCACCTGGACATGCATGCATAAGCTTGGTTTTCCTAGCCCTTCTCATTTATTTATTTATTTTACTTTTGAATATTCTCAAATTAATTTCTCTTCAAATAAAATGATTAAAATATTTTTTTATAAACCATATGATAATAGCTTTTCAAATAATATCAATTTTTTATGCTAATGATTATTTAATGAATGATATATGAAACCGATAATATATGAAACCGATATGCATAATTTTTTTTGAAAAAAAGAACGGTCTCATGAATATTCAATAAGAATAAAATTATTATTATTATTATTATTATTTAGTTTTTAGTTTTCATATAAGTTATTAAAATTAATTATTACTTTAGTTTTCCAATAAAATCTTATAAAAAAAAATGCTAAGGCATATTGTTTTTCTTTTTCATTTCAACTTGCTCATTAAACCGTATTTTTTCATTTATTAAAAAAGAAATTTATGAAAAAGATCATGAAAATTAATTAAATACAAAATTTTAGAATAAAAAATCATAAAATTAATTGAATTTTCTCTTTTCTTCTATTGGATATATTTTAGTGGATTCGCAACGTAATTTGAAGATAAAACTAGTAACTATTAGTTATTAAGCAGGAGAGACCCAATGGCTACTTAACTATTATTGTTCAACCATGAAGAGATATGGTCTAATGGTAAGAAAGTAGTCTTGGTTTAGCAAACACTAAGGTTCAACTTCCATTATCTATGAAAAACTAGCTATAACTATCTTTAGATAGTACCACGTTTGGGTTAATTTAATCTAAAAAACAGTTTGGTAGTCTACTAAAGATTAGACAAGTTCTGACATTAGTTTAGTAAATTAAAAGATATCCCAGTCTCTATCACAAACTATTAAAAATTATATTTATATAAAGCACCAGAAAAAACGTAATCTCGATTGAAGTACGAGGGAAAAAAAAGGTGTTCAGACCTCAAGCCCAACGATGTGAAATAACAATTTTCATATACTCCGCAGGCCACTCCATATAAATAATCTGCTGCCTGCCTTTGAATAAATCGGAAGCTAACACAACACAAGAATACTCCCAACGGTGAAACCAAAACAAAACAAAACGAAATCGTGATCTTATTAAAAAATAAAAAGACCGGAAGACATAAATTTTGATCAATGCCAAAGTTACTTTGAATTACCTGCTATTCAGTTATTCCTTGTGCAATGTTTTAAACTTCTCATCCACGGATTGAGAGGATTCCAGTTTCCGGTTCACTCTATGTTTTGATCATTCCTTTTTGGTTTTAATTTAGATGGCCGGAATACACAATGGCAACTGGTCCACTAAAATAAAGGTTTCAACGGGACAAAGTACCTTAAAAAGATCATTTCTCATTGTTGAACCCCGCCCCTTAACCATTTCCACGCAGATGGGATACATTCTTTTCACATCACAACCCATCTTCATAAGTCATCATCACAAAAAACCTCGCTTCTTGAGCATGTTCTCTGCTATGAACTTCCACATTGACATATACTGTGAGATTTAGGCGAGAGGGAATGAACAGATGTCTATTATATGCACCAACAGGAATTACACATACGTAACAAAAAAGAAACAGCATCATCCTCCAAATACAAAGAAAAATCCCCCTTTTCCATGCTCCTTTACTTGTGTAAACCAGGGGGCCCTAACTAGTAGTTACTGCTGCAGGAGCAGGAGTGTACCAGCCATGGTGAACCTCCACGGCCTTTTTCTCCGAGCAAGCCTTGACTTTCTTCGCGCTCCAGTGTTTCTATGCAAGGTTCCCACTTTTATCGCTTTATCAATCACCGAGTATGCCTCTGCTATTAGCTTTTCTATAGGAAGGACATCCTCAAATTGGGCATCAGGTTTCTTTTTCAGATCATCCAGTGCTTCCAAGACCTGCAATAAAAATTACCATTTAGCAATCCAAAGGATTCTCATCACTGGAAAGCAGTAGCGGAGGGGAAAACTAATGGTAATTTCTATTATTCCCATCCCACTCATTCAGTGCACAAAAACTTCTAAATTTTCACAGCACTATTATGCAATTACAATTAATTATTCAGCCCAATTTTTACTAATATCAACTGAATTGACTCCTGATTGCAAAATTTAAACAGTAACAGGCTCATTTGCAAGCACTAGATCATCTAAGTCGCTGGAACAAATCACTTTATCAAGCATAGATACATATCCAATGCCCTTTTGCACCAAAGTCCTGCATAGAAATGTAGTTCTAATATTCCTAGACATGCTAATTTCATGGCGCGTAGTTCTAGTAGTCCTTTCTCATACACATTATAAACCCAATGTAGATATAGTGTTCACATCATATACCCACATTAATAACTTCAAAAACAAGTATGAGATCCAGCATATGCTGCCCTTCGACATTTGAAATTTCTACACGAATATAAACAAACATGGGAGAACTATCAAGTTCTGCAGAAGCATATTTTCAAACCCCTCGCTTGCGATCTCTATCCAAAACTCTAAAATAGCTCTTAAAAATTGTATTTATCACTCATAAGCTTCTTCTTCTAAGGCTGGTCAAAGACAACAAATCACTAAGTGCAAGGGATGATGGTTAAACAGAAATTTAAGCTTACATATACCCATCGCTCTTGTAAGCAACAAAACAAGCCTCAACTGAAGTCATGCTTTCGAGCTTTTCTCTAATTATTGGACTACATCACACACAAATTCAGCACAGTATATAATAAGCAGGTATTCTTTTGCAGAAGCACAGCAATCTGTTAATTCCTACAAATTCTTCACAAGAGGCAATGTTCATGTCTTCCATCCCTCATATGATTAGTGAAATTGAGAGACCAATATGGTCACCTCAAAATCTCAAGAAGCAAATGAAACCAATTTATTCACCTCAATCAGCAGTCAAATTGCAACTGCATAAATACTCAGTGAGTTGCCTTTAATCCTACTCTTCTGAAACCTACCATGCCACTTTAAGTGGTTGAAATTTTGGAAATTTCTAACTCAAAGCTAATTTCTGTAGAACGAGGATATATGCATATATAACCCAAATGCAAAAGATAACCAACTATAGTCTAACATATGACAATTTGAGGGCACAAAACACAATATTCAGAACACCATATGAGCACATGGTCTAACAAAAATCAGGGTGAAGTTTTCCCACGATGGAAACTCAAAACTTCTCATGCTGTCTAGACTCATACCATGACTACTCTCTCTCCCGAAGTTTAAACACCAAGTAGCAACCTATTTTTGTCACAGCTCAAAGCTACAGAACCCAAAGATCCAAAATCCCTGCCGTGCTTATTTTATTTACAGCAGTTATTATCAGCATTCTCGAAACTAAAACAATTAGAATGTACAACATGGGACACAGGAGGACAGAAATTTCCCATACAAAATTAAGACCCAAAAGAATTAAAAATTCACAAGCACAACACATCAATTTAGCAGAAGTACACACAATCTTCACAGTGCCTCAATTTCGTTACATTCTGGAAACGAACACTTGACCACCTGACTATGAAAATATGCCTATTTCACAATTCAAAACCGATGAATGCAAACATTAAAAAAAAACAAAAAAAACAAAAAAAAAACAAAAAACAAAAAAACAAAAAACAAAAAAAGAGGAGAGTTACCTTCTTCATGCGGGTTTTAATTTCAGACTTGCGAGCTCTATTATAAACTCTTCGTTTCTCAGCTTGACGAGTTCTCTTTTCAGCTGAATCAGCCTTTTTCTTTGGCGTTGCCTCACAAACAATAGACAAATTGTGAATTGGTCTTTGAATTGTCCTCAATGACAAAGAACCTACAACACCCACATCAACATTTGGCAAAAACTCAACAACATTTAACAAAAAGATTGAAACTTTCTTAAAAAAACAAACGAATGGCTAAAAAGAAAAATGGTTAATTTTCGTTTCCGGGTTCTCAAAATAAAAGGTTTAGCATTGTCTAACAAAAAGATGCAAACTTTCAAGATTGGGTTGAAAAAGATGCTTATTTAAGGGTCTTGAAAATGAAATTACCTTTGTTGAAGATACTGTGAGAGAGGGTAGAGGAGAAACTGATGGAGTTAAGAGTGGATGAAGAACATGTTGTGGAATCAAGAGAGAGGTTTCTGAGTTTGGTAGGGAGGCCTAAGCAAGGAGATAGAAGAGAAGCTGCCATGTTTTCCCTGAGATGCTGTGGACAGTGAAGTGGATAGAATGGGTTCTCCGTTTGTTATCGTTAGTTAGCTAGGTTGTTTGGGTAGCAGTATACTGCAAAACTTGGGCTAAAGTAAGGTTGACATAAATATAGGAAAAATACAAAGGTTGGAAAGCGTTTTTCTCTTTTCTTTTTTTTAATGTAAAGTATATGTAGGAAAAACATAAACGTTGAATTTTTATTTTTTATTTTTTTGTTTGGCCTAATGTTAAAGCGTTGGGTCTTGGGTGTAAAATACAATTTTAGTCCCGTACATGTTACTGTTGTACTATAAAAACAAGAGAGAATGAATGAAATACTTGACACTTTTATTCACCAGATAAAACCCTTCAAATATGTTATACAACAATGGATACAAATAAGAAAATAATAGCTGACTTGAAAACTAACTCCTCAAGACTTGGTAATAGTTATATACATCAAATCGTAACAACTCCTAAAGACTAAGACAAACTAAATACTATATTTATTCAATAATTCCTCTTTTAAACTCATGTTTATAACATCAATTTACTAAAATTGAATGGAAGAACATCCTTTCTTAAGTTGAATTTTCCATCGAGCAAACGCTAAGCAACTTCCCGAACTTTTGGAATGCAACCAGCTTAAGAGCCTTTGTAAATATACGACAAGTTGATCCTCACTTCGTAGCGGACAAGATCGATTGTTTCATTTTCGTAAGATCTCACAGGAAATGATATCTTACATTAATATGTTTGCTTCTTCCATATAGAATAGGATTCTTGGACGACTTTATAGTTAAGCTATTGTGATAGTAAATGCGAGTAGGTCCTTCTTGCTTGAAATGAACCACCTCGAGGATCTTTCATAACCAAATTGTTTGACTAACACATGTTGTTGCTACTACATACTCAACTTCGATAGTTAATAAGGTTACAATCGATTACTTCCTTGATGACCATGAGACTGCTCTCGATCCCATCATAAAAACATAACCAAATGTGTTTTTTTCTATTATACGAATCTCCGAGCATAGTCACTATCCGTAAAGCAAAACAAATTTGACTTTTCACCACTCTTATACAATAGCCTATAATTGACTTTACCTTGCAAGTATCCGAATATTCGTTTTGCGGCCAATAGATGCATCTCCGTTAAACACTCCATGAATCTATAAATAAGAATCACATCATGCATTATATTAGGTCTTATTGTCGTTAAATACTTCAAACTTCCCATAATTTACTTGTAAAGAGTGTTGCCAATCTTCCTTTCTTCGGAATCTTTAACAAGCTTCATACTTGTTTTTGCTAGTGTACTTGATAGGAATGCAATATTTTTAGTTAGAACTTGTTTAGAATTTCTTACACATATTTTTTTCGAGAAATAAAGATGTAAGCAATAGATTGAACAACTTCTATACCAAACAAAAAAAGCATCATTTCGAGATCGGACATATTAAATTCAATCATCATAGACTCCTTAAATTTAGCAAACATAACCTTATCATTTTCGAGTGTAGATTAAGTCATTTACATATAAGCAAACCATGCGAATCTTCCCATTATCTTCCAATTTTGTGAAAAATATATGTTCATAAGGACATTTTTGAAACCCTTCCTTTAGAAAATAAGCTTTAATGCTATTGTACAAAGCTCGTGGGGCTTGTTTTATTCCATACAAAGCCTTTTTTAAAAATTTATATACTTTATGCTCCTTTCCAAACTTAACATAACCAAGAGGTTGATCAATAAATACTTGCTCCTTCAAATCTCCATGTAAAAAGGTTGATTCGACATCTAGTTAGAGGATAGGCCAAGAGTTTTGAGTTGCCAATACAATCATCAATCCAATTGTGTCATGTCTTGCAACTGGAGCAAAACCTTCTCCGTAATTGATGCCAAACTTTTGCTTGTAGGCATGTTGTCTATTAAGCATGCTTTGAATTTATCACCTTCACCATTCTCTTTCAATTTTTTTTTGTAAACCCATTTCACACCTAAGGTCTTTTGTCCTTTTTAGAAGTTTAGATAACTCCTAAGTATTTTTTTCATTGTATGCAATTTCATTATCTATTGTCTTTCTCCATTTTGAATGTTTGATAGCTTTTTTAGATGTTACGGGGTCATAATCTAAAAAGAGAGCAAAATGTATAAATGGGTCATCGTATTAGTCAATCTATGTTACCTCCTAATCAGTCATCCAAGCGAGGTCTCCTTCTAGGTTGTTATGTCCTTTGTTGAGTCGTAACTATAGGTGAGTTTGGAGCTATTAGACAGACTTACAAGAATTATGGTGATAGCTATATTACAACAATTAAAGCCTAAATCTATAAATCATATTAGCTATAAATTAGTATCCTAATTACTATTATTTAAGGAGTAAATTAGGTTATGTAATTTAGTAACTTCCTTTTCCATGGACTTACCTTTGTGTATATAAGGAGACTCCTAAAACAAGATCGGGATAAACTTTGAGTTCAAATTCTCTCTATTTTTTTTTATATAATTGACAAGAGCTACTACTTGGTTCATTTTAAATAATCACTCGGTTATTGTAGATGGTACGTAAGTTCGTTGCTCTTTTTCTTCATCAAAATTTACGGGAATGTGTTGTTTAGTACCATCTTTATCCCACTACCGAAGCTTTCTTCATCAAAGATTACATCTCGGCTAATGACAATCCTTTTAGTGCTAGGATTATATAGCTTGTAAGCTTTTCAAATGGTTTATGATACCAAGAAATATACATTTTTCTCTTTTGTCATCTAACTTTTTTTTTCTCATTTAGAATGTGGGCATAGGTAATACACCCAAAAATTCGAAGTGGCCTATGTTTGGTCTTCTTCCATTCCATGGTTCTTCCGGTGTCATATTCGAACTACTAGAGTTGGACTTCTATTCGGAATGTGAAAACTCCAATTGATGGCCTTCGGCCGGAAATTCTTTGGAACTTTGCTCCTCACCAATAGAATTCTCACCATGTTTAGAATTGTATGACTTTTCCTTTTACACACGTCATTTTTTATAGGGTATAGGTTGTTGTTAATTGTAATTTAATGCCATTTTCTTTGCAAAAATTTACAAATTCATACAAGTTATACTCCCTCTACGATCTATTCGCGACAACTTGTGTTGGATATCATGCTTCTTTCTCGGATATTGCTTTATAGCTTTTGAAAGCCATTAGAGCTTTAGACTTCTCCTGTAACAAGTAAACCTAAGTTTTCCAACTACAATCATCAATAAAAGTAATGATATATCATTTACCTCCATTAGAAGTAGGATTGATTGGACCACAAATGTCAAAGTGTACTATCTCCAATAACTTTCTTACTCTTTATGTTTTTCCCTTTGGAAATGGGTCTCAGATCTTGTTTCGTAACAACATATTCTTCACAAATATTTGAAGGGCTTGTTAAATTTGAAAGTCTAACTATCATGTTTTTCACGTTGCAATGTTACGAGACCACCAAAAATTTAGATGAACATAACGGAAAAGCCATAGCCAAGCTATATCCTTTAATTTTGTTAAAAAGCATGACTGATTAATATTATTTAGATAGAAGGGAAACATCTTGTTTGCGGTCATTGTAACTTGAGCAATTAAGCCCAATTTGTCATCTTGAATTCTATAAATTTGATAGAAATCTCATATCCTTTCTCTTACAGTGACCGAGTACTCAACAAATTGGTCTTCAAATCTAGAATGAAAATAACATTTGAAATTGTTTGATTGGCATTACTATTGGCTTGAATGATCACTTGTCCTTTCCCCATAATCGAGACTTTAGATTTGTCTCTAAACTTCACAAATCGTAGAATGATTCATCTAGAGTAGAAAATATTGACTTGTCTCCACACACATGATTACTGCAACCCATGTCTAGATACCACATATCCTTATTAGTTTATTCTCTCGCATGATAAACCATCGATAAGGATATTTCCTCCTTTTTCTGTAAAATTTGATTTTTCTCCATTTTGTCTATTTAAATTAATTCAACATTCTACCTTATAATGGCCATACCTGTGACATCTAAAGCACTCTATTTTGGATTTACTATCGACTTTGTTCTATAACCGAGTTAAATGATGACCACTACATTCTTTTCCTCTCCCTTAAGAATGATGATAATAAGTATCTTTGTATTTAGAGTTTCTACAATCATTGTCTCCTTTACCTATACCTCGTCCTCTCGTTTACTTTATTTGGTGTAGAAGGGTGGTTATCAATTATTGCCTTTAGTGCTTGCTCATCCTTATCTTTACGATTGAGCTTTTGTTCATAAACCAATAAAGAACTCTACAACTTAGTAAGTAAGAGCTCATTAATGTCCTTAGACTCCTCTATACAACATACGACAAAGTTGAATTTTGGCACCCTAAATCGAAGTACTTTCTCAACTATGGTAATGTCTTCTGTCTTATCACCATGTATCCACATCCCGTTAGCAATCGGCATACATAAGAACTAATGCGAAATCGACTCACTAAACTTCATTCGAAGTGTTTGAAGTCGTTGCCCCTTTACTTTTGTCGATCCTTGATACTTTTTTTGCATAGAGTCTCAAATCCACTTAGAGGTATCTTTGCAAAGAATGGTCTCCAAGATTAAAAGATCAATGGCTTGGAATAGATAATTCTTAGCCTTAAGATCCCTCAACTTTAATCCTTTTATCTCTCGCTTTCGTGCATTTGTCACCATTATGTCGATTGTTGGTTACGGTATTCCACCCGAAACAACTAGTCAATACTCCTTGGATCTCAAGAAATTCTCCATCAACATGCTCCAATGATCATAGTGACCATCAAAGTGTGGAATTATTGGCTGCATAGAGTCGTTAGTTGTTTCCATTGGTGTTTGTTGTTGTGAAAAAAAAAAAAAGAATAAAATTACTTGTTGTACTCTTTTACGTCTCACGGACTCTCTCTCTTTGAATTCTCTCTACACTTTTGTTTCACTTGCTCTCTAAATCGTGTTTCACTCGCTCTCACACTAGGTTACGACTTTGATACCACTTGTTATTGCTATATTATAAAAACAAAAAAGAATGAATGGAATACTTGTCACTTTTATTCACTAGATAAAAACCTTTAAATAGGTTGTATAACAATGAATAGAATCAAGAAAATAGCGACTAACTTGAAAACTAATTCCTCAAGACTTGGTAAAAGTTACGTGCACCAAATTTTGATAGCTCCAAAAGACTAGGACAAGCTGAATACTAATTTTATTCAATAGTACCAAAGGTTTTTTTCTTTTTTAATATAAAGTACTAGATTTTGGGTGTAAATTAAAATCTTATTTTTTATTCTTTTTTTTTAAGATTTACTTTAAAAAAAACGTAGACAATATTTTTCCAAACTACTTAATTTTTGCTAAGTTAGTGATGGTTTGTTTTCAATACATCCATTCAAAAAGTTAGATATAAATAATTATTTTAGATATTAAGGGATATATTATAAGAAATATAATTTATCTTGATAATAATTAATGAATATAATCAAATGAAATAAAGACTTGACTTTAAGATCCTTATTATAATCAAATTTAACCCTTTTTATCTCTTTTGTTATTAATAAGAACTTTACAATTCATAATTAGTGGCTTGAATAGTTATAAAATTAACATTAATATTTAGCAATTAATAAGAAATAAATCATATTATCACAACGAATTAAATTAACCATCATTATAGAGATAAAAAGTCACTAAGAAAATGAGAAACTACTCATACTTGTTCTCATAATAGAGCTTTTAAAAAAAAATAAAATTAAAACCCATATATATATATATATATATATATATATATAATCAAGCCCAAGACTTTTGGAGCTGCTATTTATTTTATTTAAACTAACTAATCATCTCACTATTTTATTAGAAATTATATATATAATTAACATTAATATTTAGCAATTAACAAGAGGTAAATCATATTATCATGAAGAATTAAATTAACCATCATTGTAGAGATAAAAAATCACTATGAAAATGAGAAACTACTCGTACCTCTTCTCATGATAGAGTTTTTTTTTTTTTTAAAAAAAAAAAAAACTTAAAACCCTAACATATATATATATATATATATATAACAGATTGAGAAGATATAGAATAAATAGAAAAATATACAAAAAAACCTACCTAAATTATAGAAATATATTGAAGCCAATAGATTAAAATAAATACTACAATAAAATTGGTTCGATAAATTTTGAATAAATATATATAAAAAAACTTGTGAATTTCTTAACTCATTATTTTTTTTTAAAATCGAATCAAACAATCTAAAACATACTTTTGGCTCTCTCTCTCTCTCTCTCTCTCAATATATATATATATATATATATATTAAAAAATAAAACATTCATTTAAAAATATAAAAATAAATTATTATATAAATTATAATAATATATTTTAAAAAAATAAAACACGGATGTCGTAAAATTTTATTCCAAAATTCATATATTAAAAAACCAAATTTATTAATAAATAAAATTATATCAAAAAATTATCGACCATTACAAATTTGCAATGAAATCAAAAATTAAAAATATTTCAAAATGACCATTGTAATCTAAAAAATGTTTATTAATCATGAGCCTTATATATACATGAAGGGAAGGAAAAAACAAAAAAAAAGGAGGCGGTGAGGCTGGGTAGCCAAGGCTTGGCGCGTGCGTGCCCAAAAGCTAGGCCTTGGCTATTGGTCAACCCGAGTATTAGGAAAAAGAAAAACAAAAGAGCCGAGGTACTGTTCACAAACCTCGGATCTTTTGTTCCTTTACTAGCATATATCCCATGCATTGCCGCGAGGTGAGTTATATAACATTTTTATGTATTCATTCATATAAAATTTAACATTAACAAATCATTATTTAACAATAACATGCGAAAATAATTCAAAAAAATAAAAACTAAAATAGATATTTCATAATTTGTCGTAGAGTTAGCTAAATGAAAAGTCTACAAAGTTGAGTAATATAATGTTCATAATTAGATATTGTTTGATATAAACATGTATTTTATTAATAATCGATAATTTTTTTGAATTTTCAATGATTCATTTTTACCATATATTATTCATATGTAATTTGTTAATGAAACAAAGAGACTACTCAAAAAAAAAAAAGCTTTGTCAAATTAAAAATTTGACAAAGAAAATAGAGATAAACTTACGCCCGATAAAAATTAAATGATTAAAACAAAATAAAGATCATAAAAAGGACAAAAATAAATAATAAAAAACTTTCACCAAAAGCATACAAAAAATACTTATAAACAATAAGACTAAAAAAATTTCATTATGCATAAGGCGAGAACAAAAGTAAACATTATAGAATTTTAATGACCAAAATAAAAAAAATAATAAAATAAGAATAAAAAAAGAAAATTTTTTCACTAAAAAAAACTTAGCATAGTTAAAATGTATTTAATTTTAATGTAGAATGAATAATAATTAAATATAATAAAAGTTTAATGATCAAAATAAATGAAAGATCATAAAACAAAAACCAAAAAGTTTTACTAAAAGTAAAAAATAGTTCCTTGTAGGGAAAAAATTAATGATAAAAATAAAAAAAATTATAAAGTAAAGATTAAAAAAAAAATCTACTAAATTTAATGACGAAAACAAAGAAAAAAAAATCACAAAACAAAAATAAGAATAGAAAGAAAATTTCGGTAAAAGAAAAAAACAACAACCTTAGGGTAGTAAACTTTATTTATTTTTAGTATAGCAAAGATAAAATCAAATATGAACAAATTTTAATAACTAAAATAGAAATATATTAAAAAATAGAAACAAAAAAAAAAAGAAATAAATTTTTACTAAAAGTTGAAAAAACATTTTATTATAAAGATAAAAATCACATATAATAAAAATTTAATATTTCTAATAGGGATAAAAATCAAAGATAAGAAAAGTTTAATGACCAAAATAAAAAAAATAAAAAGAAATGACCAAAATAAAAAGCAATTTCCTAAGCCGAAACAAGGAAAAAAAAAAAAAACATACGACTCAAGACTACGCGTTAGGCTCGAGTCGTCGCTCAAGACCTAAACGAAAAAAACAAAATAGTCCGCAACTTTCAACGAATCGAGGTTGTCGGAATCTTCATAGAAAAATCGAAGATTAAGTTTTAGACCCCTAGAAATTGAATTCTAACATCATTTTTTTTCCTCAAACACTTTTAAATGACCAAAATAAAGCAAATAAATACATTTAAAACCTTAAAAATCATTTTAATGCACAAAAAAAAAAATTACATAATCAAATCAAAACATTGTTTTCTTTTTTGACCCCGATCTACCTCCTTTAATTATTTAATGACTTAAAACAACCATAGACAAACTCATTTTTCAAAGATGAAAAAAAATTAATAGAATTTCACCGACCAAAGTGGCCTAAATAAGCTTGACCGACGATCTCTCTCTCCTCTTGTCTCTCTCTTCCCCTCTCCCTTCTCTCTTATCTAAGAACCAAAACGAGATGAGCGAGATGAAGATGTGGATCGACATATTCGTTAACAAATATTAAAGACCAAAGTGTAAAAAACCAATGAATAGTAAAATATTAGTGTATAAAAAGTACTTTTGTTTTAATTTATTTAGTTAATAAATAAATAAATAGCTTCTTAGCCATATTTTGCATATGCAACAACGGTCACCAGCTCTTATTTATTTATTTATTTATTTTTATTTTTATAGGAACGGTTATCACCTCATTCATTGTAACTCCTTTTTTATTTCTCTTTTTTTATAAAAAAAAAAAAAAAAAAAATTCCCAATTCAGAAATTTGATGACATCACAATGTTATCTATTGGTACCTACAGATACCAAGCCAAACTCAACATTGCATGAGCCCTTCTCATCTCACAGCCCGACCACACCTTTCAACTCCTGAATTGTGTTGTAAACAGAGCAAATCTGTCCTATAGCTCGCCGTTAACCTTGGACATGAAACCCGTATAAAAGCAGTGCGTGACACATAACAGATGAGAAAGCTAGTCCGCCAAAAGCCTCGTTATATCTCATCTGCCTATGTAAGTTAGAATCTCTCAGCTGTCATTACCACAGGTTGTGCTTCACGAATCTTGCCTGCCAAATATGGACCTCGACTAACGGCTTCCTGCAACTGTAATCAGATCAATGAAAACCATCAGATTAGGAGGAGGAAGTTCAGCAAATTTCACCAGGTCAGTTTTGGAGATAGAAAGAGGCACAGATATGGTCTGGTATAACTAGTTCTTAAAAGTGAAGACGGCGCTAAATGTCTACAAATAAACAACTAAAAAGAACAAAGTGAAAAAAAGGTTAAAACTCTTCCTCTGCTATAAAGCAGCAAAAAGGTCCGTAAATTACTATCAATCTCACCTTGGCAGCTATTGGAGCAAGAGCAGGGTTGCCGCTAAGTTTACTGGAGGACATGAAAGCCCTGTGAATTGCTATGCAGCATTTATATCTAACTTCCATACCTGAAGGTTTCCATTAAATAGATTTTAAAAAAGCAGCAACTCTTGTAGACTCCGTAAAAAATAAACTGAGGGGAGCAAAAGGGAAGATAACAAAACCAATTTCCACATTCTCAGAAAAAATAAAATCCAGAAGAAAACATTGAATTCCAGAAGGCAAGCATGAGTCAATTGAATGCTTGTACTTATTTTCTGTTAGAAGCATGCATGGAGGTGAATAATCAGCGAAGTTCTATACTCTTCCTGTCCTGTTCTTAAAAAAGTGTCCAATAAATCAAGCTTCTTTAGTGAGAAAAGTGAAGGACCAAAAATAAATTGAGAAAGACAAAAGAAAACAAGAATTCTTATACAAAGAACAGGATAATAAACTGTAACTGTAGCTACAACTGCTCTCAGCAGAGAAAGTCACACACACAAACACAATAGCAAATGCAACAGTTTTAAGCATGCATATGTATGTTATCATTGCAATAAAATACACACAACAGTGTTAAGCATGCAATATGCGATCATTGCAATAAGAAACATACAATAGTTTTAAGCATGAAATATGCGATCGTTTCAATAAAAACAAAGAACAAGAGACAACATAAACCTATTTTTGTCGTTTCAGTATTTGGATCAGTCACTATATTTATTATCTCCTGCTTTGAGCAAATTTCCATCAGACACCATGGCCGAGCTACCAACCCAGTTAACACTCGGTAAGTCTGCAAAAAATCACACAAGGAGGTCACACTACATTTCATTGATCAAGTGTACTAGCAATTGCAAACACCAAGATGACAGCTAGGCTTGAATAATGTTAGTACGACTTAACCAAAGGCTAGATCTTTCGAAAAACATACTTTGGGAACTCCATCTTATTGTTCAATTAAAAGTGCTTTGTCCAGATGCTTGTAACTTTAACTATGAACCAGTCCCATAAAGAGGGAAAAAATGAGCAGGGAAATCACAAGAACTCGAGAACCACTCAACTTTAGTCATAATAATTTAAGGCGTGTCTTTAAAATTTCATGTCATAAACCAAGTAAATGAGAACCAAAATTATGGAAGTAAAATTCTTACTGCCAATCGAACTTCTGAATCTTGTTGAAGAACTGATATGAAAAGGCCCTGCCAATTGAACCAACTTAATTTCAATTGTGAAGAACTGACAGTGTATGCGACAAGAAGAAAAGGAAATACTCTTGCCCATCTGAAAAGAAAAATGCAGGTCAACCACATACAGGGCCCATAATATGGCAACCTGTTTGTTGCCGGTGCTTATGTGGTGTATTATTTAATTAAAAGCCACTTGGAGCAATGTGTATCACAAAACAATAGGAGAAATAAGACGACAATGCAACTGAACACACAAAATAATTAAGAAATTATATCAAAGAAATGCTCACTGATGGTGTCAGCTTTGAGCTCTTGGATGCTGTTTCATAGACCAAGCGCCGGAGGCTTTCTTCTGCATCACCATTCATTATGATGTTGTTATCAGATCGAGTTTCGCCTGAGATGTTTCCAAGAGAGTGCAATGAGGCCTGTGTTTAACATTCAAAAACCATCTTAGATATATGAAAGAACATATTGTATGTCGCATATGATATATATATATATATATATATATTTTTTTTTTCTGAATTCAATTTATAGAAGATCACTCACTACATTTTTTTAGCTAGAAGAATTACAAATTAAAAACACTGGCTATTACTTGGGATGAAGTCACAGAACTGAAGTATGAATAAAATGCAACACTAATTCCTTCAATAAGTTTATATTTGAAAGAATTCAATTACTTCCAAAACATGCTAATTGGGCATAAGCTCATTGATGCAAATGCAGAAGAATATACAGAAGGGATGTTAAGCAGCATGGCTAATTCTGCACATCCATATTGGATATCTTTATCACTCCGTACACATCTTCAACATGGTTAATCTATTTGATTATGTATTGTATTCTCAGAGATCTAACAGTACTTCTCTAAGGCTCTAATACTGGAGACAGCCCACTTTAGATGAGTATGGGAATTCAAGTGACGAATACTTTTTGATCTTCGGAAATGATTAATGCCATATCACTTGATCTACAAACTAGGACGCTTGCAACATATATCATATGTCATGCTTACATTTTATTTCTGCTAGTGCACCCACCCGCCCCCCCCCCCGCCCGCGCCCATCCTGCAGTCAACCTTTTTTGTAAGGCGATGCCTTCTCGATCAAAAAAGGTTTGTCAACAGATGGATAGCCAAAAGAAAATCAAAGTGAATCATACCCTACCTACTAGGCTTGTATGCATATTTCTATCAGCCTTCTTTCTGTCAAAACTATTGACTAAAGGGAAGTTTCCCACAGTTTACCATGTGCCAACAAATGCAAAAAGTAGTATAGAATGATCTGAAGCACCCACCAGTTGTTTACCACGTGCTTGCTTATCAAAGGCCGCATCTATAACATGTCTAGCAGCAGGAGGTGAACTCGTGAGTAGCAATGTTGCTCCTTGGCTTGCTAAGCGCATATGAAAACAGATAGACAGCTTTCAGTTTCATTAGAGATGACAGATGAAGAGAGTTTCATGAATTATGCAAGCAAATTGAAGTGAGAACTTCTAAATCATTTTAAGATAAAGCAAATAAAGCAAGACCTAATGGTGCATTTTAAACACTATGCAAGGTAGAGTTGAACATAATTATTGCCTCCAAACAAACAGCCAGACAAAGACATCTCATCTAGTCCATGAAGTTCTACATAGAGAGCATACAATGTTTGAGTTTGTACTTGTGTGTGTTTGAGTTATCATGCGTCACAGATAATAAATGAAGGAAACAGATTTGGCCATAAACATTGAAGTAAATGGATATGACACTAATTTAAGATTCCCAACAGGTTCGAAGTGGGCCCATTTCAAACAAGTCAAAGTTTCAAACCAGCTATAATTGATACTGTCAATAACTGCAAGCTCCACCAAAATCATGTTAACAAATATAAAGACTTAATGTCACATGTACATCCATAAAAAACACCATAAATGAACAGAAGCTGCTTCATGTAATGGCAACCATATCACTTGCTCACATCAATTTGTCAGGTACTTACAAGATCCTATTTGGCCCAATGCTTCAAGGGCAGATTCACATTCATTCAGATCTTGACTTTCTAACGCAAGTCTTCCATCGATGGCTGATATTATGGTTTTAACACCTGAATTTGAAAAGAAAAAAGTACATTTGGAAACCACTTCTCAATATTAAGATAAAAATAGGTAGTTGTCAAATGACTCAGAATTGTGCATCTCACAGTCATGCAAGGTGCATGCTGTCTTATTTATAGAAGAGTTGCACTCAATGTGATCAAAAATAAAATGAAGCACTATGGGTGAACTAAAATGCAATTTCTTCAAATAAATTTTCCTTTGAAAATCTACTAACTCCAGAACTTCAGGATAAGTCTTACTAGATTCTTCAATGAACATGTATATGTTGTCATTGGAGAGAAGCCTTCCACTTATCATCATTGCTCTTGATCTTAATATAGCTTCTATTGACGTGTTGCTTCAAAAAAAGGGGATAGATACAAAACACATAGGGGGGAAAGTTAAAAGCAGCAAGGATCAAATCTATGGAAATAGTCGTAGACAATTTTACTCATATGACTACCTGATAATGGAAGAAAGCAGTTGGACAAGAGTGCTCTTTGACAAGAATTCCGCGCCATGCTGGACTTCTGATAACTTCATCCATTCACCAAGCATAACAAGGAAAGATAAAAAAATAAAAAATAAAATAACAGAAAGCAGAAAATAGAGGTGAGCACATATGAAATGCGGCAAGAGGTAAAATAGTATTTATGGAAAACAATATCATTCAGAAGCATTGCCCAAATTTTTAATAGAAGACATGAGCCATGATTTGTTCATTACATGGCTTTACCATGATACATGGCACGCGGTTAATATTCATTCTTGTTTTTTTGTAATTGCAATGTTGGAAGATTATGATGCTCTATCATATAGTTCTACTTATTGCTGGTGTACTTCAATAATTTCTGATATCCCCAGGTTGCACAATTTATACATTGTTGGCTGGGGGCAGATCCAAAAAGAGAACACTTTAATACAATCCCAATCTCCTATTTCTTCTTTGGTCTTTGAGGAATACAAGAGTTTTGCCCGTTAGAAAAGGAAGCTTGTCACTATTCAAGCCTTCTCATTGGTTCAAACATTTTGGAAATCCTTCTTATTAGCAAACAAGGTGGCATCTCCATTGAAAAGAGGCCAACCTTAGTTATCTTCCTCTTCCAAATTGAACTCGTAACTAATGTCCTGTGACATTTGACAAGAGCATCTCCAAATTCTTCAAACACCTACTAGTAAACTCAATCTAATTTTTCCATATTTCTATACCTTGATTTTTAATCATTCTCTTTTCCCCTAAAGCTTGTTTCTACCCACTTTCCAAAACTTTCATGTATTTTTCAGCTAGAGTGCTTAACTTCCTTTGATTTCCAATACCAACAGCCCAGTTTGTACCTAGAATTGCCTTATTCTCCCCTAAGAATACTCTTGTTTGTCAACCTATCTAATGCCCTTGTAACCATGAAACTATGTAATCTATGCTATTAAAGAGAATTCATAGTTTTCACCTTGTGCAGAGTCGTTGTTTGGCACTTGACCGGTAAAAATTATGAATAAATATGAACCAGTCAACCATTAAGAAACTGATTGAAGCTGCCTTCAAAACAAGTTTTCAATAAAAGGTGAAAAAGGCAGCAGTGACAAGCTATAGGGTAAGCAAATCCTTTTTCTTCTGTTCAGATCAGTTTGGGGTCACACTTTCTGCGGCCTGTTGTACACTACAACTCCAATACAAGGTAATTATTGAAGTTGAGGAATGGAATTAAAGAATTATAATTGATGCATGCTGTAAATTGATGATATAATGGTACTTCACATTATTTGGCTGCAATTAATTGCACAAATGATTAGAATGCTTGCTTTGGTCCTTCGACATTGCCATGCATACAAGGACAATGGCTGAGGGAAAAAAATTGAGGAAGGGTTGAAAGGAGAGATCATGTAAAAAGTGGTTAAGAAGTAAAAGAGAGATCAAGTAAAAAGTAGTTAAGCAATGCAAACCTCATAAAAGAGCTCCAAAACAGTTAAAGTTACAAGGGTATCATCCATATTTCCGATTTCCACCTCCAATAAACTCAGCAGATTTGAGTTGTAAACTGCTGATGCCACATCTCTAGAAACAGAGAATAATTTCACTATCAAAGATAATACCCGGACACGTCCCTGAATGAATATTTACCAAGTATAACAAGTTAGCCAAAAAATTCAACTTATAAAGAACACATATGATCTAAACCAGCTTTGCTACAGTATTGTGATATGAAGGAGGAAAAAACAATGAAAACATATCGAGAAGAAAGAACATCAGTTTTAAGGAATCCACTCCCCAACTAGCATACCAGGGATGAACATCGGGCTGATAATTTCTCAAGGTGCATATCATCGCTGTTATTTTGAGGGAAGACAATTTCCTGCATAAATTTTACACAACATTGGACAATCATCAGTTCAAATAAAGAAAATAATAACTAACTTGATTTTAAGACCAGTGGCACAATGATCAGTCTTTACCATGCCTTTTTGAGAGCCGGCTAACTTCTTAATTGTCTCCATTGATGCAGTTGCCACTTGTTCATTTCTGCAGAAGTAGAAATGCATTTCACATGCAGCATCATATCAACAGTAGTTTTCAGAGAGTAGGACCTCAGTATAAGTTTTAAATATCTGAACTACAGAGACCCATCAACATAACAATTATGGTAAATAAAGCCTCTTAATAGAAGAGCTGCACTAAGTGCCACCAACAAATGTAGCCCCTAAATCATACAATAGTTTTATCAAGTCATTTGACAGCCAATCTAAATCTGTTATTAACATATTGACGTCAGGTGAAACAAGTGGCAATATTTGCCTTCCAGTAGGTTGAGAAATTTAGAGAACATGGAGGAAACATCAAACATCTAGCCAGCATATAGATCAGCCTTGTTGTATTTAGATCTTTCAAGGAAACTAATCCATCAAGAGTAGACCGCATATTACCCCTTGAGAAGGGTATTTCAAAATCAATATGATTATGCTAATATTTTAAAATGACGATTTAATATATATATATTGCTTCTTACCCATTGATGAGGCAATCAAGCAAAAGCGGGTATATGCCATTGTCGATAATCAGCCGCACAGCTGATATGGTCTTTCCGTCGATATTCTCCAAAAGACATACGACCTGTCAATATATAAATCAGCTGATAATTTGAAAACATAACAAATTTCAGGTATTTAATTAAATTCATACCGTTTTGCAAGCTAAACATCTAACCAATTGAGAATCCGCCGTCAAACCTACTTTCACAAAAGGCTGAAATGAAAACACACAGCACAACAAAAATACATCATTACTACAATTTAGAGGGAAGAAAAAAGAGTAGTGAAACACACATATGACATACCATATAGAGTGGAATGAGCGAAGCACCATACTTGGTTTTAAAGATTCTTTCTAAACAAGCCACTAGAGTAGCTTCTAATCCAGGCACTTCTGTTTTTGTTTGCAAAGCACTGCAATTTCAATTATATATATAAATCCATATTTGGATAAATAACAAATATTTAGCTACAAAAATACCAGTAACTTACTTGATAATGACTGGAAGCGGAAAACGATTGAGAAATTCCTTGGCTGCGGCTTCGTTTTGAACGCCTGGATTTTTTTTGAAAAACAGTAGCATCATTAAAAATAAGCTGAGAAAAGGGGAAGCGGAAAAAATAATGGATTGGCTAGTAACCTGGATAGTGAGCAAAATCAGAGGCTGATCCAAGTAACTGTGAAGGATTTTCCGTTGAGAATTCTTCTTCGTCCATTACAATGGTTTCGTTTGCTTTTCTTTGCTTTGCTTGCAGCGAAAGTTGAAACAGTTAAGAAGACGAAAGGGCAATTAAGACGGAGAGGGGTTTAAACGCCACGTAGCGATTTCCTTTGCTTCGTGTCGGGTTGCAGAATCCGAATACCCGGTCTTAGAAAGGCGGATAAGATAGCTTTTTTTTTATTTTTTTTTTAAACTTGCGGATTAAATGTTACCGTCTGTCAATTTAGGTTGCGAAAAATTGGTTGAGAACGTAATATGAGTGAACAGTCTTTTACAGCTTTCTTTGGTATGAAAAATTAGTATTTATTATAAAAAAAAATGATACTAATAGTAGAATTGAATATAAAGATAATAAAAAAAATAAACTTATTATAAGATAAAGTGAATATAAGAGATAACAACTTTAAATAATCTTTTAATCTTTACAAAATACATATAAACAAATTAATGAACGATTAAGTTTATTTATAGGCTTTAAGATTAGGAAAAGAATTGAAAATGACTATGAATCATTATAAGATATATAAATAATTGAATAAATTGTATCACCTTTTTAATTGCTCATATTGAATTGTGAATTGAATCACATAAGTAGTAAGAATATGAAATAGATATTCATTATTTCATAACACTTTCCCTTAAATGTTCATTTTATAAGGAACATGTCTCGTTAAAACCTTATTATGAAAAAACCCAGTGAAAAAAAATTCTTGTAAAGGAAAAAGAGTACAATATTTTTTGTACACATTAATCTCTATGTTAGGCTCTCTCTGTTGAAAACATTATTTAAGATCTTTAAGATGATGCATTTCAATTTTATGAATCATTTTCTCAAAAGTTATGGTAGATAATGCCTTAGCGAATAAGTCCGTCGGATTGTCACTTTGATATATTCTTCCTTTAATGGAATTATGCAAGCATCATTATCTTCATATAATATTGTTAGAGCTTTTTTACCGATAGATAAACCGCATGTCTCTCGGATATGATGGATTGTTGATCTTAGCCAAGCACATTCTCGACTTACCTCATAAATTGATATTTCTACATGGTGATTTGAATATCTAGCAGTTATAATTTGCTTCATAGAACGTCATGATATAGTTATATCACTAAATATAAATACATAACCCATTTGTGATTGAATTTTGTATGGATCGGATAAATAATTTGCTTCGTATAACCAATTAAACTTGACTTTGATTTATTACGGTAAAATAAATACCATATCAATTTTTCCTCGAAGATAATATAGGAAATGTTTAATTCTATTTTAATCTTCATATTGGAGTAGAACTATGACTTGCTAATAAATTTATAAAAAAGACTATATCGGATTGAGTATTATTAGCAAGATATATCAATACACTAGTGGCACTAAGATATGATACTTTCGGATCGATTAGTTCTTCATTATCTTCTTGAAGTCAAAAAGGGTCTTTTGGATATCAAGTGAATAAACTATCATCGGCTAGTCAATGGATGATCTTTATATAGCATAATTGTAGAATTTTTTCTATTTAAATTGATCGATAAATAAAAATATCATTCTCTATGTGCTCGAACTGCAGAGTTAAAATAAAGTTTTGTTTTTTCAAGTTATTTTATATCAAATTCTCTTTTTAAATAATTTATAGTACTTTGAATCTCTTCGGGAGTTCCAATAATATTTAAATCATCAATATATACAACAATTATCACAAACCCTTTTTCGACTTTCTTTATAAAAATACATGAACAAATATGGTTATTTTTGCAATCTTCTTTCAATAAATATTTATTCAAGCAATTATACTACATGCACACAAGTTAGTAATAAAGAGTAGATATTGAAAAATAAATATAAAAAGTATAGCATAACTTGAATTTCTAAAACCTAAAATAATAATAAAAATATTAAAATAATTTCTATAGAGATCTATATAATTTAATTGAATTCATTTCTCGAGAATATGTATTTCATGCTTCGAGCATCTTAAGTCCTTCTAGTGTGCTTTAAATTTATTTGCTATAACATTAATAGATTATCCTTTTAGAACATCAATTCTAATAGGAGCATTCTCGGAGAGGACATACATTTTAGTTACTCATTTAGGATATGAGAATGCATCTAACGGTTAGTTTGCAATACCTTATAAATGAATTATCTTTTAAATTTCTAGTTCATATTCTTTTATACGAAGATCAAGATGATATAAGATAAAGTACTCCACAAGCGCGTGCGCACGCGCGCGCACACACACACAAACATATATATATATATAATCGCTTATTTTGCTTATTCTCTCCCCTTAATGTTAAAAAAATAGTTTCATTAAAATGACAATCGATAAATTGAGCTGTAAAAATATCTCTTATTCATGGTTCAAGATACTCGAATTATAAAAAAGGATTTAAATCCAACATATACTCCTAATCTACTTTACGTGCCCATTTTAGTTCATTATGGAATAGCATTACGGATATACTACAATGCTAAAAATTATTAAATGAGAAATATTTGGCTCATAACCATAAACTAATTAAAGGAGGGAGAATTTCTAAGAACTTTTGGGTTTGATGCGAATAAGTATTGCTCCTTGTAAGATTACATGTCCCCTAACATTAACAAAGAGTTTTGTTTTTAATTAATGATTTAGCTATCAATTAGAGCCTTTTGATAAATAATTTTGCTAAACCTTTTTTAATATGAGCATGAGCAACAGGATGTTCAACCTTAATTCTAATAGCCAATCAATAATCATTTAATGCTTAGAAGATAAATTCACTAGCATTATCAAGGTGAATTGTTTTAAAGACATAATTTAGAAATTATTCTCGTAATTAAATTATTTAGGTCGGCAATCTCGAAAGTGTCGGGTTTCGAGTAGATAATAAATATACGTATGACCATTTTGTGAATGCATCTATTAAAACTATAAAATATCTTAATGGTCCACATGGTGGATGAATTGATCTACATATATCACCTTGAATATGTTCTAAAAATATTGGTGATTCAATCTTAATTTTACTTGATGATGACTTAATAATCAATTTGCTTTGAGAACATGTAGAAAATAAAAATTCATTATATTGAAGAAACTTCGGCTCTTGAATAGATGTCTATATGAATTTTTAATAATTTTTTACATCATGAAAAACTTAAGATAACGTAATTGGTCATGTCACATAACAAAAGTATTTGAATTAGTAAACATTTGGTTTACTATAACATTTGTTTCAATCATTTTAATGTTTGTAATAAAGACTAAAATAGAAAGCGAATAATTTCTCTAATACATATTTTCTATTCGATGTAATTATAATATTTAAGTATTCAACATTTTTTACATTTGTTGTCTTAATATGATGTCCATTTAGAAAAATATCTTTGAAACTTAACAAATCTCTATAAGACTTTAGAGAGAATAATGCATCATTTATAATAAAATTTATCCTTTCGGATAATAATACATTTGCTCTTCTGGAGCTTTTAAATTATGTTACTTTAAGTAATAATATATTCGATCTTCTAGAGCCTTTAAAAGTTATCCCTTCAAGTAATAATATATTCTCTTTTAGAGCTTCAAAAATTTATCTCTTCGGGTAATAATATAATCACTCTTCTAAAGCTTTCTGCTAGATTTATATTATCATATATAATATTAACATAAAAAAAACAAACAAATAAATATATTCTTCATAAATACAAATAAATAAATTTATATTTATTTATATGCAATAGAAATTATAAGAAAATATAAACATCTTATTTATAAATAGAAAAGCTAACAAGTTATTAATTTCAATTACCTCTATTTTGATATATAAAATTGGCATCTATATTTTATTCTTTTCTTTTTCAACGAGACTTGATAAGGTTTAATGAGATCCTTTAGTTTACGACAGTACGAGACCAATGTCCATTCATGCCACATCTATAATATTCATTTTCGAACACTACCTTGATCTATTTTTATTCTTTTCTTGTTTTTTCATAGTTACTCACTTCTTGTGATGATATGTATTATTATGGTAATCACGATTATAAAGATAATTATTCGACCATGGTCATGACTATGACCACATCTTTTTTCATATCCAAAATTATTATAAGTTATCACATTCAATTCGGGGAATTGAGTAAATCGAATTGGACAAGAGTTATTCTTTTTCATCAATAGCTTGTTATTTTATTTAGTAACAAGCAAATATGAAATAAATTTAAAATATTTTTTAAACTTTTTTTTCTCTATATGCTACTGCAGGAGCATATTCGGGACATGAAAAGTAGAGAATATTTACTCGGCATCAAGCACTCATGATCAATAATTCTTGCCCAAAATGTCAAAGACGACAAAATCAAGTTTTATGAGGTTTGATATCATAAAAATTCTATAATGCAAAGTATTATAATAATATTAGAAAATAAAAACAAAATATAACAATAAAATTTAAATAAAAACAAACATAATAATAAAATTTAAACTTTTCAAACAATATATAGTAGATCATTAGATTCTATATATTAAATCATTTAAGTTTTTTAATATTATTTGTATCATTAGATTTAAATTATATAATAAATTAAATACATACCTCTTAATGATTTAAATAATTTAGATCTTTTGGTAGAACAGATTGTGTAGAAAAAATTCAATTGTTAAAAAAATGATTAATTCTTTTGATAGATACATGCCTCATGGTCTATTGTCTCGATTGGGTAGAGTTTCATGCTAATAACGTGTTATAAAATAAATAATAACAATAGTAGAATGGAAGAGAAAGATGATAGAAAAATGAATTCATTATAAGATAAAAAAATACAAGAGATAACAACTCCAAATAATCTCTTAATCTCTATAAAATATTTGTACATAAACTAATAAACAATTAAGTCTATTTATAGGCTTCAAAATTAGGAATAGAATTGGAAGGGACTTGAACCATTACAAGATGTATAAATAATTAAATAAATTACATCATCCTTTCGATTTCTCATATTGAATGATG